GCCGGGAGCGGCCACTGCACTCTAGTCTGGGCGACAGAGCGAGACTCCAACTCAAAAAAAGCAAAAACTAACATGGACAACATAGCAAGACCCCAACTCTACAAAATATATATTTTTTGAGTTGGAGTCTCACTCTGTCACCCAGACTGGATTGCAGTGGCATGCTCCTGGCCACCACAGCCTCACCCTGCTGGCTCCGGCGATCCTTCTGTCTCAGCCTTCCAAGTAGCTGGAACTACAGGTGCGTACTACCACACCCAGCTAATTTTTGATTTATTGTAGAGATGAGGTCTCACCAAGTTGCCCAGGTGGGTCTCAAACCCGCAGACTCTTGCAATCCACTTGCCTCGGCCTCCCAAAGTGCTGGGATTACAGGCTAAGCCAGGGAGCCCAGCCTACAAAACATTTTTTTAATAGCTGGGCATGGCGACTCACACCTGTAGTCGCAGGGAGGATGGCTTAAGCCCAGAAGTTCAGGACTGCCGTGAATTCTGATCACATCACTGCACTCCAGCCTGGGTGACAGAGTGAGACCCTATCTCTTAAAATAAAATACAAATAAATAAATAACATAAAAATTAAAAATGTAAAAACCATTCAAGACATATGAAAACAATCAGGGGGACCAGTCTGGCTTGCAAGTCCCAGTGTGTCCCCCACCTTTGCTTCTCTAGCTGTGAGCTATGGTTCACAGCCATGGATGGAGTGGGGGCTGTAGGTGATACAGAGTCCCAGGCGCTCCAGCCCTGTGGGGTCTGAATCTGCTTTGGAGCAAGACCTCAGGTGATCCCTGCACTCACAAAAGTTTGAGAAGCACTTCCCTGTGTGGCTTTTGCCCAGCTCGCTGTTCATTGTCACTTTACTTTCTCTTCTCTTCCTCAGTCACTTCTTCTCAAAGACTTCCTTAAAAAGCACCAACTCATGACTTTCTTCTTTTAAATTAATGTAACTACTATGAGGAGATGCCTAAGAGGCACCTTCTTTGGACCGAGGGTCCCCTGCCGCCTTGCTCTGCTGTCTGGCTGGCTGGTGGCTTTCGTGGGGAGTCCGGTCTTTACAAAGGGCAGGAATGTCTGGGGGCCAGGGTCCAGAGTTGAGGCTGCCGGGGCTGGTCTCAGCTATACCGGCTGACATGGCTGGCAGCTGCCTCTGCAGGGTGTGGCATGGGGCACTCTGTGTGCATTTGCTGCTCAGGTCATTGCCAGTCGTCATCCTAGTTTTTTGTTATTGTCTTTTTCTTGAGTTGAAGTCTCACTCTGTCACCCAGACTGGAGTGCAGTGGCCACTCCCAGCCACTGCAGCCTCGACCTGCCGGGCTCCAGCAATCCTTCCGCCTCAGCCTTCCAAGTAGCCGGAACTACATGCGTGCGCTCCCACGCCCAGCTAATTTTTTTATTTATTGTAGAGATGAGGTCTCGCCAAGTTGCCCAGGTGGGTCTCGAACCCGCGGGGTCAGGCAATCCACTCACCTCAGCCTCCCAAAGCGTAGGATTACAGGCTGAGCCACCGAACCCGGCCTGTCATCCTAGTTTTATACATAAAAAACCAAGCTTAGGAATATTGTCTGATGGACCCAAAGTCACAAAATTTACAAGGGGCAAAACTGAATATTTTTGGTCTTAAAAAAAAAGATAA